TGGATGGATGGATGGATGGATGGGTGGATGGATGGTGGGTGGATGGATGGATGAGTGGATGGGTGGATGGATGGATGAATGGATGGGTGGATGGATGGATGGATGGATGGGTGGATGGATGGATGGGTGGATGGATGGATGGATGAGTGGATGGATGGATGTGTGGATAGATGGATGGATGGTTGAGTGGATGGATGGGTGGATGGATGGATGGATGGATGAGTGGTTGGATGGATGGGTGGATGGATGGATGGATGAGTAGATGGATGGGTGGATGGATGGGGGGGTGGATGAATGGATGGATGGATGGATTGTTCAATGGATGGAAGGATAGATGGATGGATGGATGGATCAGTGAGTGGATGGATGGATGCATTCTTGGAGGGATGAATGAGTGGATGGATGATTGCATGGATGATTGAGTGGAAGAAGAGATGGATGGATGGGTGGAGGGGTGGATGGATGGGTGGATGGATGGATGGGTGGATGAATGGATGGATGGATGGATGGATGGATGGATGGATGGATGGGTGGATGGATGGATGGATGGGTGGATGGATGGATGGATGGATGGGTGGATGGATGGGTGGGTGGATGGATGGATGGATGGGTGGATGGATGGGTGGATGGATGGGTGGATGGATGGATGGATGGATGGGTGGATGGATGGATGGATGGATGGATGGATGGATGGATGAGTGGATGGATGGATGGATGGATGGATGGATGGATGGATGGATGAGTGGATGGGTGGATGCCACGATCCATCCACACATCCATCCCTCCCTCCTTCCCTCCCTCCCTCCATCCACCCACCGTTGGATGAACTGCGTGGCCTCGTCCACCAGGCCCTGGGTGAGGTTGTGGTAGGTGAAGGGTCGCTGCACCACGTCGAAGTTCCTCATGAGGAAGCAGTTGAGCGGCCGGAAGTAACGCAGGAATGCGAGGAAGAGGAGCAGGATGGCGGCGGCCAGCAGCGCCAGCAGGATGAACAGCGCTGGGGGCACCAGCACGAGGCCCAGGAAGCGCAGGGCGCCCAGCATCAGCAACGTGACGCCCAGCGCCTGCAGCGGGACGAAGACCAGCCAGCGGAAGGCGCGGCTGAACACGGTGCCCGCGCCGGGCTTGCAGTCCCGCATGTTGGTGGTGGAGATGCCGTAGAAGGACTCGAACCCGTGACGCAGCGGGTGATGGCAGAAGTCCGTCTTGTTGTGACAGTGCACACCCACGTGCCATTTCCCTAGTGCAGGGGGTGGGGAGGGAAAGGGAGAGACGTGAGACAGGTCACCAAAGACAAGAAGACCTGGAGGGGGGTCATCCATCCACCCATCCATCCATTCATCCATCCTCCCATCCATCCATCCATCCACCCATCCATCCATCCATCCATCCACCTATCCATCCATCCACCCATCCATCCATCCATCCACCCATCCACCCACCCATCCATCCACCAATCCACCAACCCATCCATCCATCCATCCATCCACCCATCCATCCATCCATCCATCCACCCACCCACCCATGCACCCATCCATCCATCCATCCATCCATCCATCCATCCATCCATCCATCCATCCATCCATCCATCCATTCAGCCATCCATCCATCCATCCACCCACCCACCCATCCATCCATCCATCCATCCATCCATCCATCCATCCA